GTAAGAAAGTTGTGAATTTTTTTTGGATAAATTGAATACATGTAATAAGGGTAAACTTGGAAAGCAAAAGTTAGCTTGTATAATATATTCATGGCATTGTTTTAAGTGTAGAGAGAATGACACATGTCAAGCAAAGATGGGAGAAGGTCCAAAGGAGAAGGTTAGAGAGAAGGTTGTTAGCATTTCTCTATTATATGTTAAACGTCGAATGATATAGAGTATAGACCAAGCTCAATTGAGCCCAAATGCGGATTGGAAGTTGGAACGACCCATCTATAGTCTTGGGCTATCCAAGCCCATCTGATTTTTTATAATCACTACTTGTTTTTTGACCAATGGAAGAGAGTCAGAAACAAGGGAAGGAGGCGGTACCAGATCCTGAACATCTTTGGTTCTTCCATTCGCTAGAAATTTTCAATTTCTGGTTCATTCGAGGTATGTATGCCTAAATTGAATTGGTTGGTATCTGATAATGCTTTGATTTTGTTAATTTGTTGCCGGCATTTATCATTCATCACGGTTTTTTGTGCTCGAAAAATCGGCCGCCTAGGCTTGTCTGGGCGGCTGGGAGGGTCGGGTCCTTTTTTTTTTTGCTGACTTTAAAGAAAACCTACCTCACGCTGCCTTTCCTTCTCCCTCGACAGACCACCACCACCAGGCCGCGACCCGCTCGGCGAACTGCGACCCTCTCTATCTGTAATTATCTATGCCATTTTTTTCCTAGGCGCCCGCCTAGGCCCCGATTACTCCTCTAGGCGCTAGGCCCCTGCCGCCCACCTAGCGATTTTTCGAACATTGCGGTTTTTTGTTTTATTTAATTATAATATTAATTTGGGCTTCTTATTTGATTGCCATTTGAACTATTCAAAATTATTTGTCTTTGCAAGATTGTTGATATGGGTTTTTGACTAATCTGAAGAAACAACTCGATTTTGTGTATTGGTTCTTCAGTTTGGGCTTAATTTGAGTTTTTATTCTTTCTTGAATGCCAGACACCTTTTGATAGCTGGGAATTTTGTTTCTCTAAAAATAGGTTAAATTAAGTTTCTCTTATTCTGCTTCTTAAACTAATTATTAGAATTTTACAAGAGTAGCTAGAAAGTGGTGTTTGGTGCTTCTCAGCATTATTGCAGTATGTGCTTTCTTTCAGTTTTGATACTGAATGCTAACATTTTCGTTGGTTCATGATTGTTTAGGTAAAAAATAATGGCCTACCGGTATAAAGGTAGGCAGGAAACAAGCACCCGAGGCAACCAGCCAAATGAGAAAGATCAGGTAACTAATAGATTTGTAGGATCCTTATTTTTCTATTTATTTTAGATCTGGTGGAATGTTAATATCATTAGTTTGTCAAACAAGCAGCTTTTGTATCAAACTCTAAAGTGGTTTGCGAATTCTAAGATTCTCAAATAGTTATATGCAGCTCTTCATAGAAATCATTATTTTTAGGGTAAATTTCACTTTACTAACCGGAAGTTTCCCGTAATTCAGACTTTGCTATACAAAGTTTTTTTCGTCTCAGTTTCATGCTTAAACTTTGATTTTACTACCACTTTCATACCTCCGTTAGTTTGACTGTCAAGTTTTTTGTTAAACAATGACATGGCATTCATAGTTCCACATTGACCCACTGCATTTGCGCCACGGGGACCAATAATTAAATAAATAATAATTTTTTTTCTCTCTGGTCTCTTCACCTTCCTCTAACTTCACCGTTACCACAACCACCACCCAAACCAAAGCCTCACCACCACCACCACCACTCCAACCCCATCGGAAAATCATCAACCTCAACCACTGCACCCACCCTCAACCCCGCCAAATTGGAAAATCACTCGCACACTCTCTCTCTAGACGGCCACTCTTTCTTTCTCTCTACGGAATTACAAAATGGGGATGCGAGCTTGCAAAATTGGAAGGACCTATTATGACCCATCACCCTCCACACCAATATGACACCGTAAGTCCATCTATCCATCCACCCCACTATTGCTGAAATTTCAGAGCAAAGCAACCATCTTTGAGCAAATTGGATTGAAAAAAAAAAACCAAAAAAAAATAAAATTCCAGAATGTATGAGCTGCTTGAATCTGAGCACATGGGTTCAAATCTAAACCTGCTCAATGTTCAACCAAGCAGGCAGATCCAGATCCCAACCTTTCAACCAGCCAAACCCATTTGCAGGCCTTGCCCACTTGCAGGCCATGCCCATTCGCAGGCCATGCAGGCGGCATGCGCTGTCGAGATGATCCACACCATGTCATTTATCCACAACAACTTGCCATGTATGGACAACGACGAGAAGTCGTATGTGGAATCGTTGTAAAGTATGTTCATGAATTTGGCAAAGAAGTCGTATGGAGATGAAGAGAGATAATCCAGATCTGATTTTATGGGGTTGGGTCACGGAGATCTTGGGGTGTGGCTGTGGCTGGAGGTGGAGGTGATTGCAGAGAGAGGGCGGGAGGCTGCAAAGGTGAGGGTTAGGGGAGAGGGTGCTAAGGTGTATCTGGGTTTGGTTGTGGGGATGAAGATGGTGGGGTCTGACATTGGATGTGGGAGAAGAAAAAAAGGTTAAAAAAAGAGAGATATATTAATTAGATTTTTTTTTTCTATTTTAATTAGATTTACTTTTTTATTTATATTTATTTTATTAGTCCAAGTGGCACAAGATGTGTGAGTACACGTCGAGCTATGAATGCCATGTCATTGTTTAACGGAAAACTTGACAGTCAAACTAATGGAGGTATAAAAGTGGTAGTAAAATCAAAGTTTAGGTATGAGACTGAGACGAAAAAAACTTCATGTAGCAAAGTCTGAATTTCAGGAAACTTCCGGGTAGTAAAGTGAAATTTACCCTTATTTTTAATTTGGATTACTTTAATGTGTACTTAGCTAATTTTTGCATTAATATTTTGGCTTATTTATTTGCTAATGTGTGCATAGGGATTTGTAATTCTCAACTTGCTATGGTGCATTACTAGGACTTTATTGTACAGGCATATCAGGATTCACTAGTTGATGATCTAGCCGAGGAATTTCGACTGCCAATTAATCACAGGCCAACGGAAAATGTCAATCTGGAAAATGTGGAACAAGCATCATTGGACACACACATAGCATCATCTAACATTGGTTTTAGGCTTCTCCAAAAGATGGGGTGGAAAGGGAAGGGGCTTGGGAAGGATGAGCAAGGTTTGTTATTAGTGAAATATTGATGATTGTGTGCTATTCGTGTTCTGTAGTAATTAATTATTATCTATAGAAAGTGACCACCTTCTTTCATGGATAACTTCTTTGTCAGCTTATTTCAGTCCCTTCAAGTTATATCACACTTCATGTCTTGCTGGTTTTACTCATTATACTCTTAGTTTGACCCGTAATTCCTTTTAGTTCTTGCTATTGTTGGTCTTACTGCTTAAGCTCTGGTGTTCTACATTCATAATGTTTTATTGGGGGTTTCGTATACAGGAATCACTGAGCCAATAAAATCTGGGATTAGAGATCCAAAATTAGGAGTTGGAAAACAAGAGGAAGATGATTATTTTACAGCAGAAGAAAATATCCAGAGAAGAAAACTTGATGTTGAAATTGAAGAGACTGAGGAACATGCAAAGAAGCGGGAGGTATGGCTTTGATCTTAGTTGCTATAAGTATTAAGTTATAGATAGCATTGAGGTTGATGCTTTACTTTTTCTTAAACCCAAATTTAATAGCAGAAGGCAGCATATAGCATATATGTGTGTCTTTTGAAGGGAATAGGACCATCAACTTTCGAAGGTCCTGAGAATTTCCTGCAGTTTTTATTACCTGGTGGCTTCTACTGCCTGCTTCGTGCACATTATGAAAATCCAGGTGTTAGCAGAACGTGAGCAGAAAATTCAAACTGAGGTGAAAGAAATACACAAGGTGTTCTACTGTGATCTTTGCAACAAACAATACAAGTTGGCTGTGGAATTTGAAGCTCACTTGAGCTCATATGATCACAATCACAGAAAGGTAAGTGACCTATGTTGATCTATACATTTCTTTGACTTAATTTTGTCTATGGGGTTGTTTCCAATTTGGTCTGAATCGGCAAATCCTTAAATGAGACTTGCAGCGTTTTAAAGAAATGAAAGAAATGCATGGTTCCAGTAGTCGGGATGATCGCCAGAAACGAGAGCAGCAGCGTCAGGAAAAGGAAATGGCAAAGTTTGTTCAGATGTATACAATCATTTTCCTTTCCCTGGTTTATATTCACGATTCATTTTTTTATCTGCTTCTTTATAATCTCATTGTTATAACATTCTCTTTCTTTGTCTTCTTTAATTCTGTGTAGTGCGGACGCTAGGAAGCAGCAGCAGCAGCAAGAAGAAGAATCTGGGTCAGCCCCGGGTTCCACTGAACTGACAAGTGCTACTACACTTGCAGACCAGGATCAACGGAAGGCTTTGAAATTTGGGTTTTCTTCTAAAGGTGGCACGTCTAAGGTATGCGTACTGATGTTATGGATCTAGAGTATTGATTCTTACTGTTTGTTTTAAAGATGAGTTGATTAAAGAGGAAGCTGATTTTTCATGGTGTATTTAGCATACAACTTCCATACACGAGTGATTATTCTGTGAAGCATGGGTGTTTAGACTAAGAAATCTTCCTTTTTGAGTTCCTTTAATGACTTGTTGCTAATAATCCTTTCTAAACTCTGTCGAAGTATATCTGGTTATATGTGATATTCTTGTTTTGGTAAGTTTGTATATGTGATACTTGAAATATGTTGTGATGTTTGCTTTCATTGCTTGGCTCCGATGCTTCAAGTATCACTGCCACCACCAACACTTTTTTGTCAGACAATGAACTCTGCATATCACACTCTGAGCTTTGTGACTAAACAATTACATGGGACACATATTTCATGGCAATGTGATTCTGGCATTTGTTATTAAGGCAATCAGCTCCAAATGATTAATTTTATACCCAATATTGGTACTTTTCTCCCATTTTACAGAGCTCGTTCGGTAGTGTTGCAAAGAAGCCAAAAGTTCCTGTGGCCTCAGTGTTTGGAAATGATAGCGATGAAGAATAAGTGACAGCGCCACTGTAACCAGCCATCAGCTTTGTACCGTATAAAGTTTGCATTGCCTTCGCAATTATGTAGTTTATGTGACCTACACCCACAGTTATAGACATTTGTGATTCACGAGATGAAACATCGTGTTTTTATAGCCCAATCCAAGTCAAAAACATTGATGCTTATGAATGATTGGTTTGTAAAGATTATTTGTTATGATAAGTTGACTATTGTTTATGAAAGTATCAGAGCTCCGATTGATAAAAGGAAACAATTCGATTAAATGAGGTTAACCCAAGTGATGTATGCGTGCTTGCAAAACATCTCCAATCAAAGTGAGAAGGAAAAAAAAAGATCCGTAATAAAAGAAAAGGAAATATAATAATAAAAAACCTTCTATATAAAGCTTAAAAGTAGGGAGTCAAACATGAGAACATCATCTGATCACAATGTACATCATCTCCGTCTTAAAAGTTTCTGAAGATCACAGGATACAAAGAACCAAAATGATAGGCTGTTAAGCAGCTTCTGCGAATCCGATTCGAAGGTCACCAAAGTCGAACACGGTGTGGTATGGCCCCATGAATACGTCTCCAAGAATCCTGCATGCACATAATGTCAGCTAAGCCTAAGCCACAGTAACAGAAACCTTAAAAAAGATGCAGAGTGTATGAATGGTAAGGTTTTCATAAGGTACCACAGAGGCCCAGTTGGAGGAGCGAGATCAAGAGCCCCAAACCCGCTGATACAGATAGCAGCAACGCCTTCTCCAGTTTTCAGAATATACTGGAAAAATATGGCAAATGGTACCAGTAATTACTTCTCCAAAAACAGCTTACAGAGGCAAGAAAGTATCAACTACAAGAAGAAGCTGTAATGTCAAAATCTAACCTGTTCCGGAGTGAGGACGAAAGGTTTATCTCCAATGGTGAAGGTCACATTTGGCATGCTCGAAATGCTATTGCAGTCGATTATGGATTCTCCCAGTGGACTTGGAAGGCTCTCACAGAGCTGTTAAAATTTTGTACCAACATCAATGCTCAGCGTAACTTGGAAATTTATTTATAATTTTGGCTTCCCAGAACAGGACATGGTACTAGCAACTCACCTCGTTGATGTAGCTTAGGACTTTGTCTTTCGCTCCTTTTTGTTTGAGCTGATTCTGGGCCCAAACAACAGCCATCTCACAAGCTGTGCACAAAGCACTGTCAGCAGCAGATGAGCCCTCCCTGCTCTCCTTCTCAACCACTGTTTCAATCCCAGTGCTGCCCAGAATTGGGTTTTAGACCATCAACAGTACATAAAAAGAGAAGAGAAGGGTATATGCTTGATACAGACAGGGTTTTCACACGAAACCTTCAACTAAACCCGGTTGATATTATGAGTTCCAGTATTTGTGCTGCGCTTAACCTTCAAACAAATAACTTCTCCCCCTAAAAGTAAGGCTGATCACTAGAATACCTACTTTCACTACCACGGCCACACCTTCCATGAAACTGCTTTCTTAAGATTAAACAACCTTCATAGTCTAAGGCATCGATATGCTGCAGGCATACCGTAAACATAAAAAATAAAAGGATCATGTAAGTATAAGAATATACTGACCTCACATACTGAGCCCCATTGAAAACACACAAACCAAGCTGCTTACATACTTGGTCAGGTTGTGCCTGCAGAATGCAGACCATGGATAATCCTTGGACATATTGAGTTGAAATGAAAGGTTAATATTTGGTTGAAGATAGAAAACAACCCACCCCTGATATTAGAAGATCCCAAATCAAGTCTCCATATTGAGACACAACTTGCTTACATTCTGCACTCACTACTCCTTCCGCTCCAATAGCATGGTTAATTTCAGTCACAATAGTCTGAAAAGAATAGCCAATATTAAATCAAGCATGGAGTCCTTTTGAAAGTAAAAAAAAAGTAGAAAATATGGATGGAAGCACATACCGTTGGACCAGTGAGTAAGGACGTTCCTGAATCCACAACAGCAGCACAACCCCCCTCACAAACACCTGGGTACAAGCACTAACTTTAGAAGTTTCATAAATTCATTGCATTTTCTTCAGAATTTTGATATTAGACTACTTTTCTAAAGATTATAAGACAACACGAACAATCAATGATCAGAAAAAATATCCCAAAGTTTCTCCTCCACAGTTGATATAGCAGGAATTCTCCATGATCTAACAAGGTATCAGAGCATGTCTATGCTTAAGGTGCTACTGAATCACCTGTTGACAAGTTCCCGATTACAATATCGCCCATTTCGAACTGAAAATAGGGAAGAGATGTTTAACTCATTAGATATTTAATCTCCAAGAATAAAGAACAGAACAAGATGCAAATAGTCCAAACATATAACTTCTAGCACCTGCCAATAACCCTTTCTAGTAACTGGAACATAGGTATGCTTCCCTTTATAATGCTTTGAGTCAACACCACCGAAAACAAGTTCACCTCCTACTTCTGCAGTTGTGTCTCGGTTAAGCCAGAATGAGAAGACATCATCGCTTAAAAGACCTTGTTCTGCCATGGTTTGCCTGTAATCTTAAACTGAATCAACTATCCATGGCATTGGAGATTTTATAGAGAACAAAACCTACAAAGCATAATTTTGAGGAAAGAGACAATATAGATTTAACACAAAGTTTAAATATAACAATACCACACTGGTGTGGCATTCCCAACAGAGATTTCCTGAAACCCAAGGCCAAGAAGTCCATCAAACTTCGCCAAAACGAATGTGAGGCTGCCCTCTTTTGTTGCCTCAATGAAATCCTGAATTTACAAAGTAGATGAAGGTTACAAGCATCACAAAGGCTGCAGACACTATAGGCATCTAGTCTGAAAATGAAAACGAAGAACAAAACAAAGCAAAACCCCACTTGATTTTTGACAACAAGGTCTCCAACTTCAACATTGTCTTGACTGAAGAAACCAGAAATTGATCCACTTCCATATGTTATTTTGGCCGACGTTCCTGAACCACAAGGAAACCATTATAAATCTGAACTTACATTTAGCAAAAGGTAACCCCTTTAAACTCATATCACATTACCAATTGCGGTGTATGTGCTGGACTTGCTTGACTTGTACTTAGTATGGAAATAGCATGCAATCTGCATATAATTATGAAAACAATTAGTTACTTGGTAAACAGGAGATTATGGAACATGACAAGGTAAAGTTAACCAAAACTCACAGAAAAATAGCATTTTGATGATGGAACCCAAAGATTGGAACTGCCAGTATCAAATATGACAGTGAAGTTCTGAGGAGGTGAGCCAATTCCAATCTCGCCATAATATTGAGCATCCATGTAATTATTGAGAGGTACTATATCTTCATCTGAACTACCCAAGTAATGATTCTGATTCATGCCCTTTAGACTTCCTCTGTAATTTGCCTCCCTTTCTGCTCTTGCAGCTTTGATGGTTTGAAGATCCAAGGGTCGCTTCTTCAGACCGATTCTCACTAGGCCATAAGCAGGAACAAGTGAACATGTTAAGGCCCATAAGTAGACAGCCACCAAGAGGTATTTGTGCCACATCCTGTTAAAAAGAGTGACAAAATTAAACTGAATGTTGCAGAAGTCATATAAGAATCAAAGGATGAATCGATCACCATATCTAGCAACCGAATTAGGATGCATCAAGAACATTGGCTCAAGGGCCCTAGCTATCGGTCTTTTTGGGAGTTGATGATATAAGTTCTTAAAATTTCCAAATTTAAGGGAGTTCAACTATAACAAGAAGTAAATTGCTGTTGTTGGGTAAGTTTAAAAACAGAGTATAATTGAAGCAGAACAAAGCTGGTTTGCTGATCAAGTAGGCAAGACCACTCACAAAGAACCCCATCTCCCAAAAAAAACTCAGCAAATTATTACGCAAAAATAAAAGGACTATGCATAAAATCATGAAGCCATGTGATGAAATCAATCTTTTGGTTGATGTAGTGATGATGTTCATGATGATCATGAAGATTTAGTAATTAGTCAAACCTTTGGTCAGCTTAGCTTTGGGAAAGTGGTGGAGCTGCTGCTGCTGCTGCTGCTACAGAACACAAGCTGGGATGGTAGGAAACTGATGAACCAAGAAGTGTCCAGAAGAACATGTAATCCAGTAAAGTAGGAGTCCAGGAGATCCCTTCCTTCTTATATACAACGTGGTCCAATGTCCAGCATTAGTTGCTCACTCTGTCTGCATCAGAATCACAAGGCCACGCGCCCTTCTAGCTCGTGAAATCAAAAGTTTGTGCTTGCTGAATAAGTTTCACAATTTTATTATTGTTTTCATTATAGATAGAAGCCTGTTAAGGACATTCCCTTGTAAATTAGCCAAAGATAATTTCACTGTCAGTTTTGTAGAAAATAATAATTATAATTATTATCTGACTGAGAAATGTTATGGCTAAAGCCTAAAGGTAGGTACGATCACGATGTAACAGCCATGCAATAATATCTGATGAAACAGAAGCTACCCAGAAGTTTCAGGAAGGAGCGAGGTGGCATTCGAATTCAAAGCTCGTCTTTTTTGCAAATAACTCCATTTTCAAAATCAAAAGACAATATATAAAAATGAAACAATTAAAAAACCAGACTTTCTAAGTGCAATCATCATGCACCACTTGCAAAAAGGGCTAATGTTCCAGACACACTTTCTCTAGTAGTAGTACGATTTAACACACAATTATTTTGAGCCTTGTATTGGGTTTTCAAGTTTTTCTACTATCTTGTCACTCGAAATTTAATTTGATGTACGAATTCGTGAACGATGAAATTGACCTAGGTATTTTATCATCTCCAACTCCAAGGCATATATGATAGCTTAGGTGGTCTGCAATGAACCATGAGAAAAAACCATACCAACCCTCATTTTATTATTATAATTAGACACTAATAACCATAATTTAACACAAAGAAAAGCAAATGAATTACACTGACCACCAGAGAAAGAAAAGGAAAAAGAAAAAGAAAGGAAGAAAATTACATTACTCACTCCCCGGCCAAGCCTTAGCTAGCCCAAGCCCTTCTAGCTGAGCCCAATATCCAGCCCAGCCCATGCAGCCTTCTTCTTCACTTCTTCCTTCGCCTCTCACGATCATTAATCATTATCAGACAGTCTCACACCCACTCCGAAAGTCCCACACTTTGTCGCTCAATCTTCACACTTGTTTTGCTCCCCCAAAAGGCCAAAAGGTAATTTCCTACACGAGCTTTTCTTTTTCCGTAGTCTTATTTCTAATTCTTTGTAGTGGCTCGGATTTGTGCTGTATTGTGTTGTATGCGAAACTTCATCTCAAACTGCCCCTTTTGTGTTCGATAAATTGACGCACTGAGATAGCTTTTCAATTAGAAGATCACACCAACCCACCAACCATCATTGTAAAAAGAATCAACCTCTTGAAGCAAACTGAAATGGTCAACAAAAGTTTCGGGCGGGCAAGGTCGTATGTGCAGCGTATCAATTCACTCAAAAATGCTGACTCATCATCTGTCCTCAAGCTCTGCTATTCAATAAGGAACTTGTCCTCCCCCACAGCTTACACATTCTTTTTCTTTTTACTGTTGGTCATTTTTATCTCATTTATCTTTAGTTCGCATTTGACAAGGTGAGATTTCTAAATTGCAAAAGTGTCAACTCATGAGATTTTTACCAAGGGAACGCAAGTTGAGGTTGGCAGTGACGAAGACGGTTTTAATCGTACTTGGTTTGCTGCAACTATAGTGGAAGCTGTGGGGGAGGACAAGTTCCTTATTGAATACCAGAGCTTGAGGACAGAAGATGATTCAGCATTTTTGAGAGAAGAGATTGATACGCTGCACATACGACCTTGTATGCCCGAAACTGTTGTTGATCATTTCAGAGGTTGATGCTTTGTACAATGATGGTTGGTGGGTCGGTGTGATCTCAAACTGTGTTTGTTATACAAATTTCTATTCTCACATCGGAATTCGTTGACATTTACCGTTGTATAAAAACTTTGTGTTTGTGATTAATGAGTATGCGTAAAGTTCAAGGCTTTGTGCAATATAAAAGTTGTTGAAACAAGCATGGTATTTGGTTTTGGTAGCATTCAATTTGACGTACTGACTTACTAGTATTTTGGTTTGTGTCATTCACTCAAGTCAGTGTCATTCCCACTCTCAAATTTCCAAAGTTTAATTTGGCAACTGAATCAAGCTTTTACCAATTTTCAGTGGAACTTCCTAGGTGGGAAAGAAGCTTTAAATTGTAGCACAAAGTTATACAGATGGCATTGAGGCGCTTTTTAGGGTTTTCAGATGGCGAGCTGATGAGGTCGGATGCAAAACCTTGTTCCAGATTGATGAGACAGACTGCCGGTATTTTCAGTGTTGGCGGAGCATTGGGATTCTGGATCCTTTGTAGACTGCATTATGGTCTGTCCTACTTCTACTAGTTATGGTGTTGTTATTGTTGCTTCTGTTGTTCTTGTACATACACTTTCTCTATTCAATGCCATGATATGTGCCTGCTATGTTTGATTCTTGATCATTATGATCATATGCGAAGTTTAAGCCGAAAACAAATGTACTCATCCGTTCTAGTTGATGAACACAAAGCCATAGCTTATGTTGTTGCTTTTGTGCTCTTTCAGGACCCAGAATTACAGTTCCTAGGAGTCTTCGTTGGGCAGCATGTGGCGCAGTTTCTATGAGCTCAACCACTGCTTTGCTGGTTCGCTTATTTAGTCCGGAGTGCGAGCCCCAAAACATAGCTACTTATGACAAAGGAAATTAGCACTAAGTTCATGGAAGTTGTATTGCTATTCTAAGCGAGTTCGGTTGGGTTTGTTAATCGTCATATAGGAGTGATTCAAATATGGATATTTGGTTTTATGCTACATGTTTTTTCCTTGAAATGAATGCACCATTTGATTATGAAATAAACAGATTCATAAGATCTTTGCACCTTCCTAGTTCAACATGTTTCCAAACGATTGAGAAGATCAACAATTTTCTTAGAATAAAAAATCTTTGTTCCTGCCATTTTCATAGGAAACCCTTACAGCTGAACTTGTAAGATTTTTTCCTTCCAAAATGAGCAAATGCAAAAATGATTCTTGAGTGCCTGCGAAGGCTTGAACAATTTGTAAGTTTGGCAATTAAGAGGAAAAGGAAAAACCTTGGTCCTTCTATCTTGAAGGGGAACACCACTATAGACATATTGGATGGTATTGTCTTCATGTTTTGGCAAATTGGCATGGGAATTTCAGGTGCAAAACAATAGATCCCAATAGGCTAAGGTGCAAAACAAAAAATCGAAAGAAACAATATTAAAAAAAGACTCTTCAAATTAGGGTGGCAAAAGCTTTGCTTGTGAGTAATTGAGCTTTAAATATGTTTTACTTGTAAAAATACAATTTTACATTCCAAATGAGTTTCCTTTATTTTTGAAACGCCGCAGCAGACTGCTTCCTTCCCAAGATAAAAACTAGCCGTAAAGCCACGCTTTAGTGTTTTCCTTATTTTCCTTGCAGAACATTAGGGAAAACCCACCTTTCAAGTTTCAATCTCGCTGAGAAAAGAGAAAGCTTTAGCTACAAGGTAGCTAGCCATGGCGAGCGGGAAGTCGGTGATGGCTTTGATCAAAGCCCTGAAGCCCGCATTTCGCAACGGCAACAACAACGACAAGGTCGCCTTTGCCGTTCACTCTTTCTTCTTAGCTTCTGGCTACGAGCTCACCGCCACAGGTACCCCTGCCTTCAACCCCTCTGGCCTCACCTCTGCTTCCACAGGTACCTACCCTACTCTATAAAAGCAGTGTTCTTTCTGGAAATTAACGGATACAAGTTTCTCAAATTAATCGGTTTTGGTCTGTTTCTTTTTGGTTGCAGATGAAGTGGGTATTCAGGACTGGAACGAGCTTGACGACCAGTACGCCTTCATCTATGTGAAACCGGAAAAGGGTTCGAGGAAGGTGCTTGTGAAGTGTCTTGTAATGGAGGGAAAATTGCATGTTTATTATGCTTTGACTGATGGGTCTTCTAAGCATGTGGAACTTGAGTGAGTTTTTGTTGTCCTATAAGTCTCTGTGTCTCTGAGTAATTGGGTGATTTTTCATCAATTCTTGCTTGTTAATGGCGTTTGGGTGTTGTTTTTGTTAACCATTTGCAGTGTTGGCAACTATGTTGAGGAAAATGGAGGCGGCAATTACTCCAGACAGTTCAAGAATATGGAGATGCTAGTGACACGTCTGGAGTCTCTGCAGCATTTTAGGTATTTGGGTTTGGGTTTCATCTTGGATGGCATTTTGGTTATGTTTGTGGATTCTTTTTGTCACCCTGATACAAAACGAAATTTATGCCTACAAAGGGGACTTATCACTGCATTACTCATTATGGATTCTTTTTGTCGTTTTTGTTGTTGAAGTTCAGAAACAAGTGAGACTAACTGTGTGAGGAGGATCAAAATTGAATCTCATTCTGGTCCTGTTCCACAAACTCATATTTCAGGGTCTGCTCTCTCTCTCTCTGTCTCTCATGTGAAAATTGCAGTTTGTTTATATTTCCATACTAGTTCAGTTTCAGTCCGAGATGTTTTTTGTATGTCTATACATGCATAAATGTGATTCTAGCATGTTCATGTTTGAGAGTTGTTTCTATAATTTTATTGAGTCAAAAAGAATCAACAGCTTAGGTTGTAAGGCCTGAGAGGCTGAGACTGTTTGAAGTTTAATGGTTGGTGGTAGGTCCTTCCTTCTGCATTTGGTGGTAAAGTTAGTTACTAGTTTGATTATGTGGTGGAGGGTTTCACTGAGGGGTAGTGTGTAAGGTGGGTTCTTTTACCTAATTTTTTTCTTCCTCTCATGTCCCTAAGTGAATTGGGAAATAGATAGAATGGGAATTGGGTTGGGTTCAAACTATTGTTGCCTGGTTCCACCTCAGATAACTACCAGAATTCTATATATCTGTCACGTTTTCTTCTTTTCCCCAAGATTAGATTATAAGCATAGGCAACGCAGAAAAGAAAAATGCAGGTCTACAAGCCCTAGTATAAAACAGCTCGATGCTTGCACAGTGGCTCACTTTTATACATCCCACTCAATTCATTACATCTTTCTACAGACGCAAAAGAAAGGAGCTCCTTACTCTCTGTGAGGAGAAGGAAACTCCAGCTAACACCACCAATGTCGCCGTGGCCGGTTCTGTCAAAGTAATACTTTTATCATCTCTCCCCCATTGATAATCTATCATTGTCATCCATTTGTCTGCTCAAAAGTTTCGGAAAAATACTCCATCTCCTCACATTACATTCTTGCAAATTAATGTGTCAAGTTGAAAGACTTCAAAGAGGATAAAGTTTCTATGCAGCATGTGTACAGCATAAGGCGAGTGAAGCAGAAAATAGGTACAGGGTCAGATGAAGCAGATGGTCTTGGCATACTGATTGAGGACAAGAAAACGGATATTAAGGGTGAGTATAATTGCTTGCATTTTAGCTATTTTTATGTCCAAGAAATTCATTTTGTAGTTGCTTTTCAATGAACTTATTATTTGAATCTGATTGTGGTTTGATGTAGAGCCTCATTATGTTCCAGCTACTGCCCTCATGGCCGAGCCCGTCCCTGCTTCTAAGGCTGCTGACTCTGTGCCTGCAACCCAGTTCCATCATTTGTCAGATGAGATGCTACCATCACCTCTGAAGAAAATAAGTCCTCGCCATCTCCAAGATGGAGAAGTGTACCGAGGTTAGGCCCAAACTTTCTCTTGTATACCAAGGTGATAGTCTTAACTTAAGTCTAATTTACGGGGGAGAGGTAGATTTGAACTTGTGTACGAGGTGATGTTGATGCAAATATTTGTTGGATTCTTTAGGTGGTAAAAGGATGAGACGGTGATGCTATGTAGGAAAATAATCAAAGAAGAAAAGAGCCCAAAAGAAGCCTGAAACTTGAATGGACTAGTCTGAGGCTTTGCGCCCAAGTTTCACAACATGAAGACATAAATCTAGCCCATATTATCAAATTTCTATTTTTTTTTGGGTTTGTAGCCCATAGTTATTGAAGCTAATAATAATGTGACACGTGGCACACATCGCTGTTGTTGATTCCACGAAAACAAATTTGAGACCTAACAAAAACAAAACGCAAATCTTGGATGCAAGTCATTCTATAGTGAGGGTCTTATATATGTCTCTTAGGTGAGGTCCTATATCTTAACCGTTGGATCAATTTGATCTAACGACTTAAAAATAGAATCTCAACTAAAGGCCATATACCCTCACTATAGAATTCTTGGATGCAAATGATACCCCAACTAAACTACTAAAGACGAATAATGATATTGTCCTCATGTTTTGGCAAATTGACATTGGAATTTTCAGCTGCAAAACAATAAGACAAATATAAGACGACGGAATCAACAAAAATATAAATCCCAATTATCTTAAATTAGCAATGGTCCTGTATTAATTTGTTGCTTTTATTGACAATTTTGTAACACAAAATGTCAAATTAGTTGGCACGACAATGTTATCCATCATTCAAGCATGTAAATTGCGTAGGCGGTTCTATACACGGATGTGTATGTGTCTTTTATTGGTCTATTAGATTCAATGCATACAATGAGGAGTTAAATAGTTGATTTGGAACCTTACACACCAAAGGGATGATAACAATTTTAATGAGAGAACTTTGGTATAATGTGTTTTAGGTTGAGCAAACAAAAATCAAACTCATGCTCGTGTTTGTAACAGAAAAATTATTGTATGATACTGGAGTAAAGACTACCCTTACGGCGATGCTCATAGACTCATAGTAACTGTCCTCTCCCTCATTGAAGAGTTTTATTCTCTCTCTAATGGGTCCTCTTAAAAAGTGATTTTCACACTGAGACTGAGAGGAGACCTATCACAGCAGAGAACAGAGAGTCAAGTGGTGAAATGGGTTGAATCCATAGCCATACTTTTTAAAAAAAGCAAAGAAATAAATAGTAAATTTCTGGTGGATTTGGAAATCAAGACAGAAAATCACTGTAGTGAAGGAAAAAGAAATTGTAGGTGGGAAATCACGTGCATATCACGTGGGAGAAACCAGACAAATGGAAATGGTCAGCTGAGTCATTTAGCGTGTCTTATTTGGCGCCACCTGACTAGTTAATTCAGTTAATGGCACATCCAATGAGCCCCACTTGTCCTATTTCATTTCACCCCCAAAATTAATCTTCAATTAAATGGAAATTAATTAATTTCTTTCCTGCCCCTCTCTCTCTCCCAAAGGCTCTGACCAATCACACACCACCACACTCACTCCCCCCCACATACACTCTCTCCTCCTCTCTCTCTCCTTTTTCTCATTCCATGCTCATCTTCAGCTGCAGCTTCATCATCACCCCCTTCAAACCCTAACCCTCCAAACCCGAATTCCCCATGGCCTCCTCCCCTAACCACCACCATAACCACACTCCCAACGGGGACAGCAAAACCCACCTACCCAAAAAGCCCAAACTCTCCCCTGCTTTCATCACAGCCTCTGAAATCGCCTCCGAATTTTCTCACCATGACCCCAATATCGCCCGAATCAACAATGGAAGCTTCGGCAGCTGCCCGGCCTCCGTTATCGAAGCTCAGAGACGATGGCAGCTCAAGTACCTGGCCCAGCCTGACCATTTCTACTTCAACGAGCTCAAGAAGGGAATTCACCAATCCAGAACCATCATCAAGGACCTCATCAATGCCGACCATGTCGAAGAGGTCTCAATCGTCGACAACGCCACCACTGCAGCCGCCATAGTGCTTCAACAGGCCGCTTGGGGATTTTCAGAGAGCAAATTTGACAAAGGAGATGCTGTGGTTATGCTTCATTATGCTTATGGTGCTGTGAAGAAGTCGATTGAGGCCTACATAAGTCGTGCTGGTGGGTATGTGATTGAAGTCCCTTTGCCTTTTCCTTTGACCTCTAATGATGAGATTATCACTGAATTTAAGAAAGCTTTGGAGAAAGGGAAGGCCAATGGTAGGAGGGTTAGGCTAGCTGTGATTGATCATATTACTTCAATGCCTTGTGTGGTTATACCTGTTCAAGAATTGGTTAAGATTTGTAGGGAAGAGGGAGTTGACCAGGTTTTTGTAGATGCTGCTCATAGTATTGGGTGTACTGATGTTGATATGAAGCTAATTGGGGCTGATTATTATACTAGTAATTTGCATAAGTGGTTTTTTTGCCCGCCGGCTATTGCGTTTTTGTATTGTAGGAAGTCCCCCAAGTGTCCAGAGCTGCACCATCCTGTTGTTTCTCATGAGTATGGTAATGGGTTGGCCATAGAAAGTGCTTGGATTGGGACTAGGGATTACAGTCCACAATTGGTTGTTCCTTCGGTTTTGGATTTTGTCAATAGGTTTGAAGGTGGTATTGAGGGCATCAGAAAGAGGAACCATGAGACTGTTGTTGAGATGGGGAACATGTTGGCCAAGGCATGGGGAACACATCTAGGGTGCCCCCCGGAGATGTGCGCCAGCATGATCATGATTGGATTACCGGCTTGTTTGGGGATTTCAAGTGAGAAGGATACTCAAAAGATAAGGACACATTTGAGGGAGAATTTTGGTGTTGAAGTCCCAATATATTTCCGAGCACCCAAGAATGGGGAGGTTCAGTCAATAACTGGGTATTGTCGAATTTCTCATCAAGTCTACAACAAAGTTGACGACTATTACAAGTTCAGAGACGCAATTAATCAACTTGTTTCCGAAGGGTTCACTTGTGCTTTACTTTCTAACTGATGAGGTATGCTCTGCTTTCAAGCATTTTAATTGTTTTGAAGTAAGAAATACTAAGGAGTGTAATTTCTTTGTTGTTTGGCTTTCCAATATGAAGATCCATATCCTTTCCATTTTCCCTTTTGCATCAAGAATCAGGTTCTCCCTGTCTTATACTGAGATTGAAATGCTAGTTAAATATTGTGATGAACCCAAGTGGTCTTACTACCATTTCCAGAAGTGCAATTATAGTTAGCTGGTGTTTCTTGCTTTGGTAGTCAGTATATTTGTGTCTATTGGCTATGGTGGTAGATAATGAGGTGATTTGTTTAGAACTTAGAAGATGTTTATTTGCAGGGCAAAATTAATGTCGTATGACGATTGTTAGCTATCAAATATGAGGCTTATTGCTTAACAATTCTCTTCTGGATAACTTGTATCCCTAGAATTGCCCTATGTGTGCTTGCAGTTTATGATATGCAAGGAGGAGCTTTATTTGTATTATTTGGTACCTCTAAGAGGCTTGCTTGGGTGAGCCATTTTGAGTACACCCAGTGATTGGAGATTTTCTCTGGAAATTTGTGCAGTATTTTGTGAATGTGTGTTAATTACTTTTAAGTTGTTTTTGACATGCAACTTTCTGTATATTTGTAGTCTGACAAAGCACTGAAGAAGTTCTTCTGATGAATAACATCCATGGTTATCTGCCTCGCCTCAGTAGTTGCAATGGTTTCAATGGTTTCGGTACCATTAAATCCTAAAATTAGTAGAAAATAGACTGCTGGGTGCATGTATCAAAGCAGAAACAATTTTCTTCATGGATTTTGGTGTTTTGGATTCCTGGAGATGTTAACTGTCTGTTGAACGCTGTCAGAGTTGTTGTTGTTGTTGTTGTTGTAAATGTTTAATGACTATTTGTCATCATTTGCATGCTTATTTAACTCTTACATAGTTTCCATTTAAGACAAACTTAGTATCTGTTGCATCAATGTTTATTGTGGTAAGAGTAAGACCTGCCAGCTTATATTGCCAATTGCAATTGCCTTGTCATGGATCATCAACTAGGGATTGTTAGTTGTCTGATTTCTTTTGTTTTTTTTTTTTTTTTTCAATATAGCATTTGCACAGTTGTCTCCTGCAAATTATTGTAACACTTCATGACTATTCTTTAGTTAGGGCATGTTGCAACTATCTGAGGGGGATATTTTTATGTAAATATGGCTACTGGATGTACTGAAATTTTGCACCTTGAGAAGACTTGATTGGAGGAGATTGTATCCACCATGGACCACCCCCCCTACCATCCATATGCTGGATCTGAAAAGAATTGTTTTTTAAAATGTTAATATTGAAAAGGCAAGACAAAGAAGCGACTGGTCTCCAGATTCTCCACTATTCTGCCATCAGTTTTTGGCCATCTTGATTTTATTCTGATTTCTTGTGTTTTTTGGTTTGATCATATTCATATTCCTCTGGATTCTTCTCATTCATATTCGTCTTTTATATTCAATTGTTAACGGGGTTTTGAATTTGAAATCTTTGCTGGGTCGTTCTAGGATTTATTCTTATTCCCCACATTTCATTTTCAGCTACATCCACCGGCGGCTGGCGCAGCTATTTAAGAAAGCAAATGTTTTATCTCAAAATTTGCAGCCTATTCAAAATTCATAGGCCTTTTCGTAAGTTTGAAGCAAGCATTCTTAGTAGATATATGAGTTGAGTAGGCCAATCCTATGCGGGCTCTTTTAGTCTCTTACGCTTCATGATACCATTAGATGAAGCAACCTTTGACAAACATGACTAGACAGACAATTTTAATTTTTATGATTATTCTTATCAAGAAAAAAAATTGTTAACCCCACCCGAATTATCCATTATTATAAAGAGGTACGTTACGGTCAGTCGTCCACCACGTGACTCATATTCCATTCCATTATCTAGCACCAAAGCCCCTACCATTTCATTATCGCCAGACATCTAATAATTTGAGAACATTCTTAGGACTAGGATTAATAATCACCATGAATCATGATGATTTACTCGTGACTCATTCGGCATGTCATTTCTGCAAAAGAAAACGTTGAAGAGTGATGAAGCGAAAATCAAACGGCTTTTGTACTAATTGAATCAAACAGGGACAAGACAAGAAGAAGAAGAATTCTTTTTCTCACCCCATGAATGCGACCCCATGTTTATCTATCCAACGCAAACACCACGAATATGGAAACCTTGTCTCCATCGACACCCACACAACAAAATAGAACATGTTATATTATCCACCGCCATTATTTTCGTGAAGTAATATATTTGTGTCCTGTGATGGATTAGTTTGAAAAGACAACATTGCACGCATATTCTCAAACTCAAACAACACACATGTTTGAAATTTCCCATTCAAACCCACTTAATAATAAAGACAAGTGAGTTTGGTGATTGGTCTTTGTCATGAGTCATGACAACCATTGATACATCACGAGCTCAGCAGCAGAGGAACCTATCTACCATACAATTTTTAAAATTTTATTTAATTTTATATAAGCGATAGTCTAAATTACTCTAAATTAAATTAATCTACGAAAAAAGGAGATTCAAACTTAATTGCAAGTCGCAGACGCAAACTCTTTTTTTAATATGCTGACATGCATATTTATAAATTACTAAAATAATGTTTTTCTTGCCACAAAGGCGAACCTATCACTTGTCGAGATTAATAAAATTCATGATTCTTAAGTCCAACTCCATGCATAATAGCCAAATTCAAGCCACATTCAAAAACATGATAAGATTGAAGATGACTTGAGTTTAAACATCTGACAATTCATATAGTAAGCAAAACTAAGACTTGCTTCTGCTGTCCTAAATCTTCAGATAAGATTAAGATTCCATTCAAATCAACGCAATCATCTAATATCACATATAAAGCAAGTGATTTTGTTCCTAGCTCTCTCGTCTAAGTTTTTTTTCTTCTCCTTTTTGGGCAAAAGCTCTCTTGTATAAGTTGAACAATGACCAGGAATGCGGGATCATCCACGCAAGAAAACCACTTTCGACAACGGCTAAGGGTACTTATTAAGAATCATGTTTACTTAATTCTTGCCTTACCAATACATTTAGCTCTGATCCTCATTTGCTAATGTTTTTGTTGTGCATGCATGGTTGTGTTTTGAGTGACGCAGGTCATTGCCGAGAAGATTGTTATATTTTGCCGTTACTATGTTCCAATTATTGTTCTTCTTCCTTATCGAACCCTCCAATTCTTCTACCAAAGCAAAACCCAAGTTCCCATTGAGCCAAACCACTCTTCTTCCTTCATCACAGACTCCGAAATCCAATCCGAATTTGCTCACCATGCTCCTGGTGTTGCCATGATGAACAATGGCAGCTTTGGTTGCTGCCCTGCTTCTGTCATCTCTGCCTTGCATCAATGGCAGCTCAAAATGCTCCGCCAGCCGAGCCATTTCCTTTTGAATGAGCTCAAGAACAGGATACTTGAATCAAGAACCATAATTAAAGACCTTATCAACGCAGAAGATGTGGATGAAGTCTCCATTGTAGACAACATCTCCACTGCTGCTGCCATCTTCCTGCAGCAAACAGCATGGGCCTTTGCTGAAGGGAAATTCAACAAAGGGGATGCTGTCATTATGTTTAGCTGCACTTATGGTGCGGTGAAGAACTCAATCGAGGCCTACTTTTCACGTGCTGGTGGGTCCGTTATCGAAGTTCCATTTAACTTTCCATTGAATTCCAATGAAGAAATCATAAGTGAATTTAGGAAAGCATTGGAGAGAGAAAAGGGAAATGGTAGGAGAGTGAGATTGGCTGTGATTGATCATGTTACATGTGTGCCAAGTGTTGTAATGCCAGTTAAGCAATTGGTTAAAATCTGTAGGGAAGAAGGTGTTGAACAAGTGTTCATAGATGCAGCTCATGCTGTTGGGAGCGTAGATGTTGATATGCAAGAAATTGGGGCAGATTTTTACGCTAGTACTTTGTATAAGTGGTTCTTCTGCCCACCTGTTGTTTCATTTCTGTATTGTAGGAAATCAGCTACACATTCAGATTTGCAATTGCATCACCCTATTGTATCTCATAGGTATGGTAAGGGGTTGGCTGAAGAAAGTTTTTGGGTAGGGACAAGGGATTATAGTCCATATCTGGTGCTTCCTTCGGTTATGGAGTTCGTTAACAGGTTCAAAGGCGGTCTTAAGGGAATCATAAAAATGAATCATGATGCTGTTGTTGAGATGGGGAAGATGTTGGCAGAAGCTTGGGGAACCAATCTAGGTTGTCCTCCTGATATGTGCGCTAGCATGATCATGGTAGGGTTACCAGCTTGTTTGGGGATTTCAAGTGATGAAGATGCTATGAAGTTACGGCCACATTTATGTGACAAATTTGGTGTTGAAGTCAGAATACATTATCAAGCTCCCAAAGATGGAGAGGTTGGATCAACAACGGGGTATGTTCGAATTTGTCATCAGATTTACAACAAAGTTGATGACTATTACAAGCTCAGAGATGCAATTAATCAACTAGTTCGTGACGGATTCACTTGCGCTCTTGAGGTATGTATATGCTCTGCCTTCATCCGGTTTATTGGTTTGTGAGCTAGACATACTAGACACTGCAACTTGCTAAATTTGGTTTGCTTACTTGTTATTGACATGGGATTTTATGTTATTCTGTAGATCAATGAGGCCTGAAGTCTGTTCGATGAAAAAAAGAAGCTATATGGTCCTGTATCCTGCATACTTTGCTAGTTGTGCAATGGATTTTGTACCATTAACTTCTGAAGTGCTCCTAAGCAAACAAGTATATATATAGAGAAGTTCATGAATTTTCGGTTTGATAAGCAGAAAAGTTCATGTATGAATACATTAACAATTATCTGTCGGTTTGGTTGTGATTCGCAGAGATTAGGACTCAATTTGAACACAGCACCTCATGCAATCAGTTTGACAATAAGTGAAACACAATGTGAGCTTGAACAACCAACAAGACTTTACCTAAAAGCACTTGCACTCTTTCTCCTTTGCAGTTTTATAATAAGCAATTGTAACTGATGCATTCCTTAAAAGGCCTTCAATTATTTACTCTTCATCTTTCTAATATAGTGTGTTAAACTGTCTCTTTGAGCTCAGTGATTTAATCCCAGAACTTTTAAGTTACCGTGCTCACTTGAACTATGTGAGTGTTACTACAAATGGTATCAGTTCAGCTATAGGCTGCATTTGTTAATAAGCTGATATATTTAATAAAGTGATGTTTTTCTTGCCACAAAGGCAAACCTAAGTCCATGGTTTTCTTGAATTCCATTTCCCATGCATAATTTCCAGCACATCACATGTAGATAGCCAGATTCAAAAGCATGAAAATATGGAAGCTGACTTTAGATTAATACACCAAACTTTATAAGATTGTCTTTTAGTGACCCAAATCTTAATATCAACGTCATAATCTTTTATTTTTCTACCTAATCAATTTAAACCTCCCTAATGTCATATATAAAACAAGTGATTTTGGTCGTAGCTCTCTTGTCTTTTGTAGTCAAGACAAGCATTGAGACATATCAAGACGTCCGCAAGGATATTACAAATTAATAAGTTGAACAATGACTATGAATGAGAGATCATTAACGCAAGAAAATCATCATGTTCAATTAATTCTTGCCTCGACAATACAATCGGCGCTGATCATGGCTAAAAAGATTATTATGTTTTGCCGCTACTATGTTCCACCTATTCTTCTCCTTCCTTATCAAACCCTCCAATTCCTCTACCCCAAGCTTTCAGTTCAAGTCTCAAGGGCCTCTAACCACCATTTCCACAACCTCAAGGCTGATGAAATCCAAACCCATGTTCCCATTGAGCCAAAACTCTCTTCTTCCTTCATCACAGACTCCGAAATTCAATATGAATTTGCTCACCATGCTCCTGGTGTTGCCAGGATGAACAATGGCAGCTTTGGTTGCTGCCCTGCTTCTATCATCTCTGACTTGCATCAATGGCAGCTCAAATTGCTCCGCCAGCCAGACCATTTCTACCTGAATGAGCTCCAGAACAGGATACTCGAATCAAGAACCATAGTTAAAGACCTTATCAATGCAGAAGATGTGGATGAAGTCTCCATTGTAGACAATGTCTCCACTGCTGTTGCCATAGTCCTGCAGCAGACGGCATGGGCCTTTGCTGAAAGGAAATTCAACCAAGGGGATGCTGTCATTATGTTCCACTGTGCTTACGGCGCGGTGAAGAACTCAATCAAGGCCTACTTTCTGCGTGCTGGTGGGTATGCTATCGAAGTTCCATTTAAATTTCCGCTGAATTCCAATGAAGAAATCATAGGTGAATTTAGGAAAGCATTGGAGAGAGAAAAGGGTAATGGTAGGAGAGTGAGATTAGCTGTGATTGATCATGTCACATGCATGCCAAGTGTTGTAATGCCAGTTAAGCATTTGGTCAAAATTTGTAGGGAAGAAGGTGTTGAACAAGTTTTAATAGATGCAGCTCATGCTGTTGGGTGCATAGATGTTGATATGCAAGAAATTGGGGCAGATTTTTATACTAGCAATTTGTATAAGTGGTTCTTTTGCCCACCTGCAGTTGCATTTCTGTATTGTAGGAAGTTAGTGACAAATTCAGATTTGCAATTGCATCACCCTGTGGTGTCTCATGAGTATGGCAATGGGCTAGCTAAAGAAACTGGTTGGATTGGGACAAGGGATTACAGTCCCTATCTGGTGCTTCCTTCAGTTATGGAGTTTGTCAATAGGTTTGAAGGCGGTGTTGAGGGGATCAGAAAAATGAATCATGATGCTGTTGTTGAGATGGGGAAGATGTTGGCAGAAGCTTGGGGAACCAATCTAGGCTGTCCTCCTGATATGTGTGCTAGCATGATCATGGTTGGTTTGCCAGCTTGTTTGGGGATTTCAAGTGATGATGATGCTATAAAGTTATGGGCACATTTATGCAAGAAATTTGGTGTTGAAGTCAAGATACATTATCAAGCTCCCAAAGATGCAGAGGTTGCGCCAACAACGGGGTATGTTCGAATTTGTCATCAGATTTACAACAAAGTTGATGACTATTACAGGCTCAGAGATGCAATTAATCAACTCGTTCATGACGGTTTCACTTGCGCTCTTGAGGTATATATATGCTCTGCCTTCATCCACTTTATTGGTTTATAAGCTAGACATACTACACACTGCAGTTTCCTGAATTTGGTTTGCTAACTTGTCATTGACATGGGATTTTATGTTGATATGCAGATCAATGAGGCCTGAAGAAGTCCGTTCGATGAATAAAAGGAGCTGTAGTTCTCTGTGTCCTACATCCTTTGCTAGCTGCAATGGTTTTGGTACCATTAAGTCCTAAAGTCCTCCTTCCGAGGCAAAAAAGCTATACAGAAAGTTCATGAACATTTCATTTTTCTTTTTTCGGTTTGATATATAGAAAACTTCATGTATGAATACATAAACAATTTTCTGTCAGCTTCAAGGAATGTAATTTCCAGATATGTTTACTGACCAATGGGCTCCACTTGAGAATCTGTGAAACCCAAAAACTTAAACAACCAACAAGATAAACCTAAAAATACTTGCCCTTTACACTTTCTCCCTTACATTTTATAAAAAGCAATTCTAACCCTTAAAGGCGTTCAAATAATTAATCTTCAGCTTTATCATATAGTGTTAAACTGTCAACTTTATAAGTTGGTGAGCACACCAAGAAGTGGGTCAGCATTTGTAATGAATATAGCTTAACGAGTGCTATCAGTATTGTAATAGATATTTCAAGAAAGGTTGCTCTCTCCAACTTAATAATTGAAATTTAGAGAAACAAGTCTGAGCTTCAAAATATGGAGCAGACCTCTCAGCTCTTATTCCCTATTTATCATTCTCTTTCTCTTATCTTTGCATACTAATCTCTTGGAGTAATTTGCTGCTATTATGTTTTGAGTGACGCAGGTCATTGCCGAGAAGATTGTTATATTTTGCCGTTACTATGTTCCAATTATTGTTCTTCTTCCTTATCGAACCCTCCAATTCTTCTACCAAAGCAAAACCCAAGTTCCCATTGAGCCAAACCACTCTTCTTCCTTCATCACAGACTCCGAAATCCAATCCGAATTTGCTCACCATGCTCCTGGTGTTGCCATGATGAACAATGGCAGCTTTGGTTGCTGCCCTGCTTCTGTCATCTCTGCCTTGCATCAATGGCAGCTCAAAATGCTCCGCCAGCCGAGCCATTTCCTTTTGAATGAGCTCAAGAACAGGATACTTGAATCAAGAACCATAATTAAAGACCTTATCCACGCAGAAGATGTGGATGAAGTCTCCATTGTAGACAACATCTCCACTGCTGCTGCCATCTTCCTGCAGCAAACAGCATGGGCCTTTGCTGAAGGGAAATTCAACAAAGGGGATGCTGTCATTATGTTTAGCTGCACTTATGGTGCGGTGAAGAACTCAATCGAGGCCTACTTTTCACGTGCTGGTGGGTCCGTTATCGAAGTTCCATTTAACTTTCCATTGAATTCCAATGAAGAAATCATAAGTGAATTTAGGAAAGCATTGGAGAGAGAAAAGGGAAATGGTAGGAGAGTGAGATTGGCTGTGATTGATCATGTTACATGTGTGCCAAGTGTTGTAATGCCAGTTAAGCAATTGGTTCAAATCTGTAGGGAAGAAGGTGTTGAACAAGTGTTCCTAGATGCAGCTCATGCTGTTGGGAGCGTAGATGTTGATATGCAAGAAATTGGGGCAGATTTTTACGCTAGTACTTTGTATAAGTGGTTCTTCTGCCCACCTGTTGTTTCATTTCTGTATTGTAGGAAATCAGCTACACATTCAGATTTGCAATTGCATCACCCTATTGTGTCTCATAGGTATGGTAAGGGGTTGGCTGAAGAAAGTTTTTGGGTAGGGTCAAGGGATTATAGTCCATATCTGGTGCTTCCTTCGGTTATGGAGTTCGTTAACAGGTTCGAAGGCGGTCTTAAGGGAATCATAAAAATGAATCATGATGCTGTTGTTGAGATGGGGAAGATGTTGGCAGAAGCTTGGGGAACCAGTCTAGGTTGTCCTCCTGATATGTGTGCTAGCATGATCATGGTAGGGTTACCAGCTTGTTTGGGGATTTCAAGTGATGAAGATGCTATGAAGTTACAGCCACATTTATGTGACAAATTTGGTGTTGAAGTCAGAATACATTATCAAGCTCCCAAAGATGGAGAGGTTGGATCAACGACGGGGTATGTTCGAATTTCTCATCAGATTTACAACAAAGTTGATGACTATTACAAGCTCAAAGATACAATTAACCAACTCGTTCATGACGGGTTCACTTGCGCTCTTGAGGTATACATATTGTCTTCATCCACTTTATTGGTTTGTAAACCAGAGCCTAGACATATTACACACTGCAATTTCCTGAATTTGGTTTGCTTACTTGTTATTGACATGGGATTTTTATGTTAATCTGCAGATGAATGAGGCCTGAAGAAATCCGTTTGATAAATAAAAAGGAGCTATACATATAGTTCTCTGTCTCCTACATGCTTTGCTAGTTGAAACACAAACAATCCATACAAAAAAGTCTATGAACTGGTTTTTTTTTTTTTTTTTTTGTTGGGACGAAATTTTGGGGTTTGATATGCAGAAATGTTGGTGTATGAATACATAAGCAATTGTCTGTCAGCTTCAAGGAATGTAATTTCCAGAGATGTTTTAGACAACCACTCACCAATGGACTCCATTTGAACACAGCACTGACCTAAAAATACATGCCCTCAACTCTCTCTCCTTTAAATTTTTATAATAAGCAATTGTAACTGTTCTCAAAAGAATAAAAAAGAAAAAAGAAATTGTAATATAGAGTGTTAACTGTCACTTTGGGCAGTGTGAGGTCCTTTTGAGCAGTGTGGTACTATATGCGGGTGCAGCAACAAATGCTATCTGTTCTGGATCTGACTTCAAGGAAATTGCTGCGGTGGTTCGTTCCCGCGACACCTCAATTTCTTTTGAAAACCTCCATGACAAGCTGGTTGAACATGAAGCCGCTCTCAAGCGTGATGATACCGCTGTTGCTGCCCCAGTGATCACTGCCAATGTCACTCAGACATCTCGCTCCCACACCTCAAACCGTGGCTATCGCTCTAACAACTCCAACTCCAACCGTGGGTCCTTTGCCTCTCGCAATCCTTCTCGTGGTTCCTATGGGCCCACCCAACCAGCTTTCACTGACAATAGTCGTCGCCCTACCCACATGAACAGCACAGGTTATCGTGGTTTCTGTCAATGGTGTGGCACTCAAGGTCATAGTGCCAAACGCTGCCCCCAACTCCAATCTGGCCCTCACAGTCAGCCAGTGGCCAATCCTACCACCCATGGTAGGCCCACCTCTTCTCCAACATGGTTGCTTGATTCTGGTGCCTCTCACCATGTTACCTCCAACGTCAACACTCTCTCTGGTGCCTCTACATATGATGGTCCTGATGAAATAATTATTGGTAATGGTTCAGGTTTGGGTATCACTCATGTCGGTTCAACCACTTTACCCTCCTCATCCTCTCAATCTTTCACCTTATCCAATGTTCTCTGTGTTCCTTCTATGCAAAAAGACATTATTTCTATTTCTAAATTTAATAAACAAAATAATACATCTATTGAACTTTTTCCTGATTTCTTTCATGTCAAGGATCTGAGCACGGGGGCGGTTCTTCTTCGAGGCCCGAATAAGGATGATGTGTACGAGTGGTCTCCCAAATCCTTTTGTCAACCGCAAGCTCTAGTGGGTGTGGTGGTCTCTCCCAACCTCTGGCATCGTCGTCTTGGTCACCCCAGTCACAAAACTCTCCAACAAGTCCTTCGTTTATCTTCCATTAATGTGTCTTCCAAATTGTCCGAGTCTGTTTGTCATTCGTGTCTATGTAATAAAAGCCATCGGCTCCCGTTTGGTACTTCGTCTCTCACTAGTCATGGTCCATTAGACCTCCTTTACAGTGATGTTTGGGGCCCTGCTCCATACTCTTCTATTGATGGTTTTTCCTACTATGTTATATTTGTTGACCATTTCACAAAATACATATGGCTCTACCCTCTCAAAAAGAAATCTGATGTGTTTTCCACTTTTGTCACCTTCAAAGCACTTGTCGAAAATTACTTCAAAAGAAAAATCACTAGATTATACACTGATGGTGGGGGAGAATTCATCAAACTCCAACATTTTCTCTCATCCAATGGCATCACCCATCTTCTTACACCACCTCACACTCCGCAACACAATGGGGTCGCCGAACGGCGACACCGTCATATTGTTGAAACCGGTCTCACCCTTCTTCATCAAGCTTCTTTACCTCTCACCTATTGGTCTTATGCCTTTAAAACAGCTGCCTATCTTATCAACCGCATGCCCACTCCGCTTCTCCACAATCTCTCCCCATTCACTCAACTATTTGATGAACAGCCCAATTACTCCCGTCTTCGTACCTTTGGGTGCTTGTGTTTTCCTTGGTTACGTCCTTACAATTCAAATAAATTACTTCCTCGTTCCCGCCCATGTCTCTTCCTTGGTTACTCACCTAATCAAAGTGCCTTTCAGTGTCTTGATCTTTCCTCCAACAAAATTTTTATCTCTCGGCATGTTCAATTTGATGAGTCCACTTTTCCTCTTGCCAACCTCCCTTCCTCCATTCCCCATGTCACTGTTGATAACTCTCACACTTGGGTCTCCTCTCTTCCTCCAGTTACTTATGTTCCTATACACTCACCCACCATGCCTGTTGCACCGGTTGTTTCTTCTTCGATGCCACCACATGTCACATCAGCCTCATCATCAGCATCTGCCCCCGTCTCGGAGCCGTCACCATCAGTATCCCTGGCCCCCATTGCTGCTGCTGCTGCTCCTCTCTTACCATCCCCCAACCCCCAAGCCTCAGCCCCTACCTCACATTCTCCAGCCCAAATTGACCCAGCCCAGCCACCTCCCCACCTCAGCCCAATTCGTACATACACTAGAAACCCTCATAGGACTGTTGTCACCTTTCCATCCTCTGACCCGCACCCTTCCAACCCCCCCGTACCCCCTGTGCTCCCCGATCATTCCATGGTCACCCGTGCCAAAGCAGGTATCCACAAACCTAATCCCCGATATGCTATGACTGCTACTAAACACCCCATTCTCTCCTCCATTGAACCGACATGTGTTTCCCAGGCCGTTAAGGATCCCCTTTGGCGACAAGCAATGTCCAATGAGTTTAATGCGTTAATTCGCAATGGTACATGGGAGCTCATTCCTTCACTCCCCTCTCAAAATCTTATTGGTTGTAAGTGGGTGTTTCGTATCAAACGGCATCCTGATGGCACTATTGACAGGTACAAGGCACGCTTAGTTGCCAAGGGTTTTCACCAACGTCCTGGTGTTGATTTTTCAGACACTTTCAGTCCGGTGGTCAAACCTACTACCATACGAATTGTTTTGCATCTTGCCGTGACTCATGGTTGGCCAATACGTCAGTTGGA